TAAATGGGGAGTTACAAACGGGACAGGAAATTATGGAGAGACACGATTGTCCATTTCCTGAAGCAACATGGTATATGAACTTGTGAGAACAGTTGACTGAATAAGAAATTAGGAGAAATAGTAAAATGACAAAATTTACTAAGAGCTACAAAGGACAGAAAATTGTGGACAGCCATGATCTCTCACATCCTGAAAGGACAAGGCGAATAGAAGAGGAAAATATTGAGTTTGATGGATAAGAACATAATAAAAGCAAGGGTAATAATTATTAGTGATGTAGACTAATAATTTTCAACACTTTGATGTTTTTTGGTTTTAATCATTTCGCCCCCTAGCAAGGCGATAAAGCCACTAGGAAGGTTACTGAGAGTGAAAGAAACAGAGAGAACAATAAAAATGCAGTGTTCAAAGAAATAGATGATGATGATGACTGACACTGCATCATAGTTGACAGGAAATCAGGTATTCAGAAGAGAGTTCCACAAACAAGAAATGCAAAAGAAACTGTTTCTATAAAACTTACAGTTACAACTAGCAGTTTCAACAGTGAAAGTGTGCAACCTAGCTGTCAATCTAGTACTGCACTTAAATTTGTGAAATTGAGGTACCAAAGAGGAAAGCAATATTTATTTTGAAAAATACAAAATGTGGCATGAGGCCAAAAGTGTGGATAGGGGAAGGCTGGTCTTCAATCTGTCTTATCTTAAACTTAGCTAACCATGATTACTGGTCACCCAAACATACCACAGTATTCCTTACACCAAAACAACACATTCTTACTTACCATTGTTACTACAGTCACCATAATACCTCAAGTCTCTATGCAGTCCTAACTAGTCCCCATATGTACAATTTTTCTAGGTGGTGGGAATAAAAATAACAACTTTAAAAAATACCATAGAGGAAAGTAATATTGATTTTGTAAAATACAAAAATGTGGCACAATGCCAAAGAGGGGGACAGAGGAAATCTGATTTTCAACCTGTCTTATCTTAAACTTAACTAGTCACAATTACTGACCCAAACATACCACAGTATTCCTTACACCAAAACAACAGATTCTTTCTTCACATTCTTACTACAGTCACCATAATACCTCAAAGTCTCTATGTAGTCCTAACTAGTTCCCATATGTTCAATTTATCTGTGGGGTGGGGAATAAAAATAACAACATTTAGAAAAAAAAACAATGAATAGTTACTATGAATAGCAAAGAGGAAAGCTCATCAGAACAATTATTGTGAAAATATTTATAAAAAAAGAAAAAGAACAGGTATGCTTTGTTACAGCAGTGTGAAAGTGACTGAAGCCATGATGTGAGATCAGGTCAAATAATGTTGCCAATTCTTCTTTAGGTTTTATTAAGAATTTCTAGATATATAGCAGAATCACCAAGCATGATGTGGCAGCATTATTTGATTCCTGGTTTAATGGAAAACTTTTAAATGTGCAAGATAGATTCTGGCAAGAAAAATTGTCTAGCATAACATGGTGAACTGACATTCCTGACAATAGACCTAGCAATAGATTCAATATAATCATTCCACTTAATGTCAATGGAAAATGTGAGACCAAGAAGGTGCATTGAATTGCTCTCTTGGATGTTACCATCAGCCATATGCTGGTGGAGGGCAAAAACTGTTCTTTAAAATGATTACTAGAGAGCAGTTTAATTTTGGAGGTGTTAAAATTAAGCCACTTCTTGCCACAGTTAACAACAGATTGAAGGTGATATCTAAGGTCAAAATTCTATTTGTGCTGTCTTGGTTCATGTCATGGTGACATATCTACATTATATATCTTCCTCCTTCATAAATACTAACCTGCAAGACTTCCTGGGGAGGCATTTGAGATGCAGTGTAACCTGACAGTTCAGACAGACACTTCTATCTGCTGACAAATAACACACTTATTTTGTATATATGTTCTGTTATTTCAATGCATTTGTTCAACCTACCTTCTTCTTTCCATATCTTTCTTTCTAGCCCATAAAAGGCCACAACAGTTCATAAAATTTTTAAGGCTAGAATCCATGTAATTGTCAAGCCACAAAGATCAACCCTACAAGTAAAGTTTAAAAATAGACATTTAAATTTTTTTTAACAATAGCAATGATTGCCTGCTTAATAAGTAGAAACAAGCACACACACACACACACACACACACACACACACACACACACACACACATATATATATATATATATATATATGTATTCTCAGATTGAGTGTATCTGTAGAAGTAATAAAACTGAATAAAAAGAAAAACTATACTTAGTCATCCTCTGATAAAGTCTTGCTTTGATAAAGTTCCTCAGAGGATGAAACATGTTGGCTAAGTATAGTTTTTCTTAGTCTTTTTTTATTCATATATATATATATATATATATATATATATATATATATATATGCAGACACACACACAGAGAAATCTTGAAAATTTTAGCATTTTACTTTCTTTTTATGATTTCTAAATCTAATTCTTAAAATATATTAGTTTAGTGCAGTAGCATCTTTCACAAAATTCTTAAAATTTGTAAAAGAAATAAATCCTTTTTCTTCATTAGGCTACAAAATTTATTTACATAATGGACAATATCTTCACAGATGAAGAAGAGACTTGAGGCAACAGAAATGTGGTTCTACAGAAGGATACTGAGGATACCATATACTGAAGGTGTGAGCAGCAACAAAGGTTTTACTTAACACCTGGAAGAAAAAGTTCAAATTTCTAGGGCACATAATGAGGAAAAAATTCTTGGAAAACTTAATACTCATAGGACCGATTGATAGCAAGCTGAACAGGCAAAATCAGGGCATAATTTACCTAATGAGCTTGAGTAAATGGATGGTGGAACAGGTTTAGGTGAGATAGCGAAAAGATAAAAATTACTATTTGCTATAAAGGACAGGAAACTGTGAAGACTCATGATCCCCAGATCCTGAAGGACATAAAAAAACAGAATAATCTATATGCATATTATTTGACTACTGAGAGGAAAGTGATTATGTTTCAATAGGAGTAGATAGGTTTGCCTATCATTTGTTTCATACTCCTTCCTGGTTTTTGAACAGGATTAGAGGTTTATCAGTTGTTTCCTTGCTTAAGTTGATGGAAGTGTGTCCAATATGAAGGAAATCCTTAAAAATGTTTTTGAAGTTTACTCAGGTTTTATCACTTGTGTGCTGATAAGTTTAAAGAATTGTTTGCAGTTAGCATGATCATTCGACTTTGTTTTAATCTTAGCTGAAACGCACAACCAACAATGTTGCCTCTTTGTGCTTAATCTGAGAGAAACTGGAGTAGAATTTTAGGTAGCAGATCACTGAAGCTTATGCAGGAATTTGTCAGGAATGGTTTGCAAAGTTTTTGGAAGAATCTGAGCTCAAGGTTAAAGAATACACTGCAAGACCTGAGAACTTAAAAACTGAGGAATTGGAGGAAATATTTAAAGATGTACTATATATATATATATAATGATGTAATAGAATAACCATGAGTGACTACACTATAGATAGTAACTACCTATATGTATCTATAAGGCAACAGACTACAGAAACAAGCTGGGACCTGTTGGGTACGACTCAGACTTATGTGAGAATTACTGACCTTCCAATAGTAACACTCACTACTAGATTGACTTGCGACGACCTTGTGCATAACTGTTACCTTTATTCTTATTGTACTGGTTTTTACAATAAACCTTTACTTATTTTATCCACCTTGTTTTTCAAGTAGATATTCCTATTAGCACAAAATATAACAGAAAATTAATAACAATTGTGGAATAACAGTCTAGAATCTGATAAAAAGCAACTGAAATTAAGATGAAAGAAATCCTCATAAAAAATGAATAATAATTGAAACTATTTCATCTCAGAAAGTTTGTACACTAGTCGTAGTAGTGTATGTAAATAAAGAAGATGATGGCATATAAAATGTTTGAGGTAAATAAAGAGTCATGGCTTTATGGTTAGATTTTAATTAGTCAATCTGTTTGGGCTTCCCAGACTAATTGGCTTGGCAAGTTATAATAGACGGGCTCCCAAGGATAAGGGTTGTGAGTTTAAATCTCACCAAACTAAACCCAGATACACAAATAATTATCTCCCACAGATCTGCTTGCTTATTAATAAAGAAATGCTCGTCAAAAATTAATAATAGCTGATGGTGGTTCATCTAAGAAATTCAAATAATATTACAATTATTACAGAATGTAAAGTCCAGGGCCAGAATTGGTCAGTGATTGGCCAGAGTGCCTCGTGGGTGTGGTATTCTGATAGTAATGGATTGCCTTTGTCTGGGTTTTGAATATAAGTCCAGAATGGTGCAAATTCAATAGAGGGCTAAGTGTTGATACGCCTTCCACACCTAAGTTGAGAGACCGGCTAATACCACCTATGGAGGGATGCTGAGCCAATGTGCAACATGTGTTCCTGTGGTGTCATTCCTCCCACTGCCTCTTAGAATCCAAGCTGCCACCACTCTCTCCTAATAAAACAAATAAGAAAAAGAAATGGTCCTTTTCATTGATAGCATTTTATGTAGTAGCGTGTGAACCCAGAGATGACACCAGAATGCAACGCAATTAATGACTAATGATACTTGAACAGCAATCTGGAAACTCCTAAAAAGCAAAAGAAATTAAGTTCAAATGTCACCAAACTAAACCCAGATGCACAAATAATTATCTCCCACAGATCTGCTTGCTTAGCAATAAAGAAATGCTTGTTAAAAATGAAAAATAGCTGACAGTGGTTCATCTAAGAAATTAAAATAATATTATGATTAATATGTCTAATGATTGTTGAATAGCAATCAGGAAACTACAAAAAAAGAATTGAAATTAAGATGAATGAAATACTAATCAGAAATGAATAAGAATTGAAAATGTTTATGCAATGATAATAAAAATGTGTGTTAATAGAATTACTTTTGAAATTATAAGACTTTTATGAATGAAATATTAATATGATTTTTTTGTTTTTTTTCTTTGGCAGGAAGCACAGAAAACAAAGGATATCAGGTATAAAATTGTGGAGGAGTTACTAAAAACAGAACAAGCTTATGTCACGAAATTGCATCTTGTCGATCAAGTAAGTCATTATTTACTTTGACCCCAATTTGATACTTGTTTTCAGGTTTCTTTTTTTTTTTTTATTTGTTTTTAAATTTTATTCTTCTTTCCTTATCTTTCTGCTGACATATCACTTTTGAAGGTTTATCAGTATCTGGCACTTTCTAATGGACAAACTTAGATAATAACTGTTCTGCAAAATAGAATTCAGAAAATCTCTTTATAAAATAGGGCACATGCAGTATATAGCTATACCTGTGTGAATATTTGCTAAATGTTGTTTAGTCTGGTACAAGGCCGGAAATGTGGAGCACACAATGAAGAAACACATGATACATATATATGGAGGATTCCTCTGTCATTTTTCAATGTACATGATCTGGTGTCTGGGCTTCAGTTACTTTCGTAAGGTTATCTCCCTTTGGTTTTTCTATAAATAATTTCATGGTAATTGTTTGGATGAGCTCTTTGTTGTTGCCTTATTCCCCTCCCCCAACAGAGTAGAATTGTACATATGGGAATTAGTTAGGACTTTCATGGAGATTCTGAGGTATTATGGTAAGTAAGAATGTGATCTTTTGATGTAAGGAATACTGTGATATATTCAGGTCAGTAATCGTTGCTAGCTACGTTTAATTATAAGACAGAAGAAGACAAGCCTTCCCCCCCACCACCATTGGCCTTGTCCACATTTTTGTAATTTCATTACAAAATAAATATCACTTTGCTATGGTGCCGAGACTCTTTGAATTTAAGTACAGTACTAGACTAGTGACTAGGTCTCACCCATATATATTCCAGCTGGCTATATATACAGTGCTGTTCAATAAAAGTGACTCACCTGATTTTTTTTTACTTAAAAATTTTTTCACCTATTGTTTTTGGGGGTCAAACTAATTTTTAATCTTACTAAAATAAAGACTCCTTCCCAACCACCTAGTAAAAAAGTTTACTCACCCTAAGGTATTCTATTGATAATTATAATTTTGGATATAAATGAGATTTAGGAAAAACTCTGTGCAAAAAAAAAAGTGACTCACTTATTTCCTGCAACTAGTAATCAATAGAAACATAACCGAACAGCTTTAAATAAAGAATAATAGAGGTATAATTTATTTATAATAGGTAATATAGTTTGAAATATTTAATAATCTATGGGTCCTCCTTTATTTTGAATAACCTTTTCAACCCTTTTTGGCATTGACTCGATTAGGTTCTGGCAAATCTCATCTCCAAGCATTGAATTCCATTTGGATATGAAATTCACAATCAAATCCTCTTTGTTGCTCAACTGCTTTCTCATGAGCCTGTACTTTATAATGCTTTATAAGTTTTCTATGGGGTTGAGGTCTGGAGATTGGGGCAGCCATGTCATAACACTCACCTGCTTCTCATCAAAGTATTCCTTCATCAATTTTGATTTGTGACAGGGAGCATTATCCTGCATAAAAATGAGCTTGGTGGGGTCGATTTGCACCCTTTCAGCAGAAGGGAGCAGACAAGAAACTAAAATTCTCTTGTACTGCTCGCTCCTGAGGGTCTTTTCAATAGGTTTTAAGAAACCAGTTCCATGAAAAGAAAACGATCTCCAGAACATTATACTGAACGGATGCTGCTAAATTCAAAGAGTTTTCAAAGCTGCTTCTTCGGATTTTAGATCGCTTATCCTTTGAATTTAGCTCAACTTTTGTTTCATCGGAGAAGAGAACATTTAGTAAAAAAAATCAGGTGAGTCACTTTTATCGAACAGCACTGTATAACTGTGAATTCTATGTTAAAAGTTACTTTTCTCACACTTCTCACTTGTGGAATTCCCTGCCAGTTCCATGCTTTTCAGCCAACTTTAAATGTCAATCACTATCTGCTGTCTTCCTGATTCCTCTTCCTCTGTTCTCACTTGTTAGCAATGTTCCTGTTTCTGACTCTTCCATGTCCAGTAACCCTTATGTCTCGGTGGCTTTGTTGCCTTGCTTGAGGTGAACTCAATTTAAAAAAAAAATGAAAAAAACTGAGGAAGCAGCAACTCAGTTCTTAGAAGCAAATAGCCAGTATCTACATATATGATTTGATTATAGTGGTGAAAGCTTGTGCAGAACGGACCACATTTTTTTTACAAAGAACTGATGCACAGCTTGCCACAAGATTTTCAAACGATCTTCCTCAGCTTTTGAATTCAGAATTGTCCTTCTCTTCATTGGTTTGTTTCTAATTCTTAATAACTTTGCTTAGCTTTTGGAAAGCATTTTACACTAATCAAATGTGCCTGTGGATTTTGGTGTTGCTTTTTCCATCCTCTGTTAAGAGATTTCCTAGAGATTTAAATTTTTGTACTTGCTTGAATTTGATATCTCCAATTTGTAATTTGCATATTAGCCTGTCCCTTTTGTTAACAACCACACATTCTGCCTTCTTACAACTAACTGATAGTTAGTCCTTTCTTCTAACTAAATTTTGAAGTGGCTGCAAAAGTAATTTTCCAATTACTACTGTAATCTCTAATTCTCAAAATGTGTTTGTGTATGTATGTGTGTGTGATTAGATATTGTTTATGCGTTTCCACAGTTTTCATCCAATTTTGATGAAATATTTTTTGTTTGATAGCTAATTCTTTAATGTCAGTTTTGAATACAAATTGGCTGGAAAAAATTACAACCATGAAGGTGAAAAATCAAAAATCTGATTTTTTACACTTTGCGCAAAAATCAAAGGCAAAATTTAATGTCTGTAAAAAAACAGCATACAATCAATTTAGAGAGTTGAAATCTAACGCAAAAGATTATTAGAATTATTAAAAAATTATATTATAAATAAAAATTATCGTGTATTATTATTATGATAGTCCATGGAAGAGGTTCCTTCCTTGCAAGATTGAGAATGCAAAAACAGCCCTTTTCAGGGCCACCCGCATTCAGATTGTTAACCCTCCATTTGGGGATGTGCCTCAGTTGCATCCAAATGTTGCTACTAATATTGATTTTTGGGTGGGCTGACTTTAAACTTAAACTACTCTAATTGAACAGCAAAAATTCCCAGTAATGAAAGACCCAGTCGAAGACGGGTTATACTGCTAGTATGATATATTTTACAATTTGATTTTATTTAAAATATATTTCTACAACCAATAAAAGCTGTTACATTCAGTGTATAGAGTATGTATACTAATGTAGCAATTATCATGAGACAGAAGTAGTATTAAAAAAAACTGATCTTCTGTGAGACTAATTTAAGTTTAATGCATACATCTCAAATCAACCATCAGACACAGGTGACCCTCTCAGAAAAATGTGGGAAAATTCATAGGGTGGAAAATTTTGAACTCTATCTTGGCATGAAAAAGAGGTTTGATCAGCTCCATCCCTTATATGACAGCAATACTCCAATTTTTTTTTAACTAATCTGAATCTCTTAAAGACAAAGAATGGCAAAAGAAGTCAAGTACTTTTTGGAATGATATAACAGGCTGGCCATTTTTCCAACCTCTTTAGCAAGGGATTGTATACATGAGTTCCACTTGAAGTCCGTCACATACTTGAGACCTAAGTGATATTCAAAGTATGGAATTAGTATAGTGTGTTTTAGCTGTAAGAGTTTAAACTAGTGGAGTTAGTGATTGGAGCTCATCTGAACATTTGCCATGGAAATAGTGCTAGATTAGCTATAGGCTAATAACGGAAAGTCAAGCAAAGATACTTCAGATGATTCAAAAGTAGAATTGGAAAAGAACTTATGAGCAAATGGTTCTGCTTTGTCAGCAGATGTTAACACCTCAAACTGAGTGAAGAGGGGAGGGATAGAAGACTTACATTTTAACACACTATTACATAGCTACTGGTAGTTACAAACACCAAACTTTTTAGACGTTATACAATTCCTAATTCTATCAGAGAACAAAGACTTAGCCTCTTTGAGAACAGGTTTACAATTATTACAAGCAGTTATTATTTTTGTTACATTTGTTGTACCTCTTACATTTTCTATACAAAAGCAGACTGTGTAAATACGTTTTCTGCACATAGGTTCTACCCATACATCCACTTTAACCAAAACAATATTAATAATATATAACCATTCAGAGCAACTTCGCTCAAAAACCAAAACCTAAATTTTGAGCCTATAGACAGCTATTTATTCTCAAATTCAAACAGACCTGGAACAGACCTGCATTTGATGTCAACACCATCACAATGAGAGAGAGATATACAACACAAACCAGCATTTGATGTAAACATTGACATGCTGAGAGGGAAACATCACTGACAATGAAAGCCATCGCTAATGTGTATTTCACTTCTAATTTCACCACTCTCTCTCCCTATAGCGTTAGCAACAGCTAAGAAGTTATTAGTTTTGTATATATGTAAATAAATTATACACTTATTTAGCCATATTCAGTGTCTTCTTTTTACTTGGATTTACATTTACCAAGGCAGAGAAGGAATTAACCTCCACAACAGTAACAACAACAACAAGGTTCTGTATTTCAGGTTACCATTTCTGCAACACATTTAATATCTCCAAATTGTAGTTCACATCTTGGGCTGTTCCTCTTACTGACAACTATAACTATACAGAAATTAATTTGATTAAGCATAATATAAAAAAAAAATAATTTTTTTGTTTTGTTCTTTTTTTTTTATCACCCATCTGTTTTCTGCTTGACTGCTGAAATACAAACAAGTGAATAACCTGCTTGTGCCATTTTGATCGAGTCTGAGGATGAAAAATCTGGACTTCTAATTCACAAAGCAATGGTTCATACAGATTTTTTCTTGACATTCGAAATTTTAAGGACCAAAAGCATCATCCCCTTTTTAGAAATTACTTTATTTATATGGTAAATAAAAAATCAAACAGATATGAGCTTCGTAGAAAATCTGGAACAAGGGGGATGTTCATTGCTTAAAAACTGTAAACAAAACCTTTGCTCAGCTGTGACACTCTCCGTGGTCGAGAAGTTTAATGCATGCTGGATCTAATGGTGGTTTCTCTTAGAAATGTAGACACTGGTTTGAACTCTGCTGGAGAACACATTTCCTTTGTTAAATTTTCTCAGGCTGGTTTGTAATTATTTTAACCCAAGCAAGGCAATAAAGCCGCATGAGGTTACTGAGTGTTAAAGAATAGGAAAGAACAATAAAAG